GCCACCTTATTTCTGTCCTTCTCATTCCCTTCATGCCTCCTGTATGTTTGTTTTTTTCGCCTCCGGCAAAGACTCGCTGCGTCAACTCCATTTAAAACGCATCATTTTCCAGTCAGGGGGACTTAAATAATTCGTCAACATGTATAGATAACAGAAAAAAAAAAAAAGTTTGATCATTTCGTTTTTTTTTTTTTTAATTTTGTGCCCTCCTATTAATGCCCGATGGGATAGCGTGTGTTGCTTGGGGGAGAAGTAAGGATATTGTGTTAGATAAAAACATATTGACACAGAGGAACGACTATGGCGAATAGGGCTATATGAAGCGGTAATGGTTCAGGTACTACCGCTCTATGTGGAGGAAAGCATAGCCAAGATTATCGAGAAGGAAATGTACGCAGGGAAGCAGATTGGGAAGCGTACTTTAAACGCTTGTATTAGTGTTTTAAGTAAGTTCGGCAAGACCTCGACATGGCACAAAAGCATGAAGTGTCAAAAAGGGTACTGCGCCTTTTGGTCCGCCGAAACAGTAACTAGAAATACGTTAGTCGCTAAACAAACTTATTAAAAAATAAAACAGGTTTGTTTCTCAGTGGACGTCAGTTTCAAAAGTTTGACACTTCATACTCCCAATTGAGTTTTATGTTTATCTGAAGACGTTAAGAATTCAGTCCCCATAACCTGTGACCGGCTATTGCAGCTCAAGAAATGAAGATGGCATACGCTGTATAATTATGAACACTATGTATGAGCAGTGCATTGAACTAACTTGTATAGCGTATAGTTACTATTATTACTCCTAAATTAAGTTAAACTATTGGAATCTAAATAAGAGTTGGGACGACGCGACAAAGGCAGATGCACAATAATTTTGTTTAGCCTCAATTGAATGTATCATAAACCAGACACTTCCTCGAAAACCCTTGTTTCCTTTAAGTTTTAATATTATTGCGCGCAAAAGATTTTCCCGCGAAAATACATTACGCATAAGAATATTGTTGTATCCACTACCGGAGAGGTAACGGCAGTCTACTCTTACCAGAGGATGGCGGTTTTGCGCCAGCAACTCTCTATTAGCCAGGTAGAAACTCAATAGACCTTTCCGCTAAATTACCCAGTCACAGAGGTGCGTGCTGCGAGCAGTTACACGCGCTGCACGTGCTGGCGTCTGCAGCACAGCAACTGTTTTATAATGAAAACATCTAAAGCAAGTGGCGCTTTGTGCCCGCGTTTATTTTTGATCGTTTACACTTCGAATCTTTCACACAGACGAGGCAAACGCGTGCATCACGCGCACTTACATTCCAATGACATCATCCTTCGTATCTGGGTAATTCAACGAAAGATATTTTCGAAACCGGACAATCGAAACGAAACAGACACACCATCACCAGTTTGCCAACACGGAGTTTGTCGCCCCAAAGCCGCACACTGCTCCTACATCCGACAAAAGACACGCGGTGTTCAGACATGATAACAGAAGTATCTGCGGACACACGCCCCAAACATGTTTGAAACATGTCTGCTTCACACAGATGTACACTTGGAACATGCGTGCGGACAGTGAACAACCAATGCTGCAGAACAGTCATACGGAAAAAAAGCACGTCTCAGGCGGTGTCCACAGATTTGTACGTAATAGCAGTGGTGACTCTTCACTTGGCGAGGCTACACTCAATTTTATGTTACGCGTGTTACCGGCACCACGTTACCCGTAACATTTCACGAGCAACTGATGACGTCACAAGTACGATGCGCGTTACCCATATATAGATGTCCGGTGCCGACGGAAAGCACGACGAGCGCGCCTCATTCAGAAGGACTCGCGCACGCGTTAAGAAGAACAGAGCCGCTGTTTCGCGGTGAATGCAATCTTGGGGCGGTTCAGCCGAGGCGTTGCACCACGTACTACACAGGTCCGCAAGCGTGCACGTGGAAGTTGCTCGTGCTTCTCGCTTCCTTGCCGCCGGGGCCGTCAATATTTCGGTTCTCCCTCTCGGGGCGAGGAATGTTAACAATGCTCGCGTTTATTTTCGGAGCCGCACCAGATGACGGGAGAGAAATGGTGGGCGCCCCCCGGGTCCGTCGTGCGGGATCCCCCAAGGCAAGTAACGGAATCGGCGGGAGTCAGCGTCGCGGCTAAACTTAGCCGCGGCATACACCTTGCGTAACCTTCTAGGACCAAGACCCGGTGGTCATCGGCACCTTGATATACGCACGCGCGCGCGGAAGTGTACAAGCTGGGAATAACACGAGACGTCTCGTGAAGGATTTCATCGCACCTCACGCTTTGGAGCCTTTAAAGGGAGTAATCTCTGGCGGCCATAGCTGCATGGTATGCGCGACTGCTTAGCGCCTGCTGACGGCGAGCTTCCAGTTTTTTTGCAACATGCATTCTGTACCATCAAGATTACTGGTCTTAGCAGCCTATAGTAATGTGAGCTCGCTTTGAGCATGCTCTCTAAACAGGGCCCTCAAATATGGCGTCCAGTGAACACCCTTTTCAGTGAACACCCTTCAATGTTCAAATTAACATCTTTTACAAATCTCCCCCTACTTATAATAACAATAAGAAGAAAACGCGAAAGATCCATAAAGCCAAACGAAGTTACTGGACAAGCGTCGTTCTCACTTGTGAAAGCACAATTCAATTCAGAACGTATAAAGTTTAATTGTTTCTTTTCTTATTTTAAGGCAGTATTTGCGTGGGGGAAAGGCAAGGTCGCGAAAGCACGTCAACCGCGTGCGGCTGATGGAAGACGTCTGTCAGAAAACACACAAATGGACACATGAGTGTTAACATGCGCGCATGTACATGTACACACAAAGTGTGAAAGTGTATTGGAAACAATCGTAAAGTGCTTCATGTGGGTAGCCCCCCCCCCCCCCCCCTTTGTTTTCGTAATCTCAAGGGAGACAAAAAAAAAAAGAAGAGAAAGTGAGGTGTAACTGTTCCTCTTGTAAGGCACGCATTTTAGAGTGGTGCAGAGCTACGCTATATTTGAAGCCACCACTTGTACACTTTCACAACTGTCCGAAAAATACGTTTGATGCAATGCGATATGTTCCAGCTGGCGCCTAGCAGTCGCGAAATAAATTATATATATCTGTACACTGGCAAGGTCCCTATCGTACATTCCTACACAAAATATGAAATTACGAAAGAAACGGAAAACTCTCTAAAATAAAAAAAAAAACAAAAAAACACAAAAAACAGGCCTATATATTTTTTTTCGAGTTTTACGTTAAAACAAACGCACGTCTGCCTTTTCGTTAATTGGCCGACGGCCGTTTAAAGAACTCGCTACGAATTCCTAAATTCAATCTCAATGACGGTGAAGCTGATTTCAGAAAGATAGCCTGGACACAACAACAATGCAATGTCATCAGATTTTGTTTCAAACTTTCTTTCATAATCCGAAAGGAAGTTTCTGCTAATACAGTAAAAACAAAAATAAAGGAGGTCTCAGAATCTGATAAAAAGACAGATTATTTATTGCAATATGCTATCATTGAACAGTTAGTAGCAACGTTTTATTCAGAAACTCAAAACTTCTTGCATCGAGCTGATTATTACGACGCGCAACATTCGCAACCGTGACCAGCTCAAAATATGACGAGTATCACATTTGTTCAGTCGACCCCATTTAAGAAGTCTTGGTAGAAATCCAGAAAAACCGAAATCACGCCACTTCAATAAACACGTTCTGTATTTAAGGTCGTGAAGCCGACGCTATCGCTAACCTCGGAACACCAAAGAGCAAGCGTTTGAGACGCTTGTTTCGAGTAGGTGTACTGTTTGAGTGTCAGTGTCGAGTTTAAGGCGTCGGACGCCCCTCATCTCACGTGCGCGCTGACCAGTATCTCTTATTTCCATATTCGAATATACATATAGTGCATGCGATCATTAAGAAGAGGCAAAACAAATATCGCGTGAAAAAATGGCCGCGGAGCACTGGGAAAGTATAAAAAAGGTTTGCACTGGGAGACGGTTTGTAACGTGCTCCAGAACAAAGAAGGAAGCACGCATGGTGCAGTAAAAAGAATCGGTAGTCATGTTAGGTTCTTATCTAAGACATGCAGGTTTAATTACCATGAACCGGTATCACGTGCATTTTTAGAAGCACCGGTAGGTGAAATACCATGGAGTACGCTAAGGAATGCGGCAGAGATGTACGGATGCACAAGTCGCCGTAGTGCGAGGCAGATTGGCAGTTCGTATTGTGCAAACATTCACGCGAAAAAATTTGACTTATGACTCCGCTCAGACGACTGACGCCTACACATAAGGCAACACTAGGTTTGGCCGTGAGCGCGAAATTGTTTTGCTGATATCGTTCCCCACTCTCTCTCGTGGAAGCACGCCGCGACAGGAACGGCGCTAAGATTATCTTCAGCGGTGCGACACTCACGCAACCGGCAAGCGCGCCGATGCGTAAATCGGCATGTCTGCATGCCCGTTTCATTTGTCTGCGGGCTCATGTTAACCTACAAACGTAAAAAGCAAAAGAAAAAAAAAAGAAAAAAGGTTAACGTGTTTAAAATAAAAACAGAACAAAAAATAAACAGATCGAGACTGACACACACGAAGATTGAACACGAAAGTTACTTATCGTTTCATCATTTGGAGGCAACGTGTCGAACGCGATAGCTGATAGCAGGTATCGCGCCCCTCCCAATGAATCGAACACAGCGGGTTTCCAAATTTCCCCTCATCAAACATTGGAGAAGCCGGTACTGTCGCGTCGGTTGCTTGAAACAAATGAGGCGTACACACAAAAGCTACCCGTTTCAAAGCGACGCTACACAAATCAATCGGAGCCGTGGATGCTCGCCGGAGGATTCCCAAACGGGACGGTCGACGCGCGTACTTCCAAGTGGAAGGTAACACGCGCTCGCAAGATGGCAGCGTGGAAGCTTAGCACGGCTCACGTGCTAATGGGAGGACAATGCCTGGAAAGCGCAAAAGAAGTGCGATGCACACTATGGAAGCCATCACTCACCGCAGCCTTCGCAGACAACCTTCTTGACGGCGCGCCCGGCCCGGCGAGTGTAGTGGTCGGGCGTTGCGGCGGCCGAAAAGTTTGCCGCCGCCGGCAGGAGCAACCTGCGGGCGGCGCGTCCGGCGACCGGGTTCGCGTACACCAAGTAGCGCGCGTTGAACACGAATCCTTGGGGCACCGACACGGGACACAAAGTCCGTCTCCGGGGGCCCAGGCCCGACCCCTGCGTCCGGGCGCGGCGCGCCGCCGCCGCCGACCTGTTCACGTGCGCCGACGGGTCCCTGGGGGGCCTGCTCTTCACCAGCGCGACCACAACCTCCTGGCGACGGCGGAGAGGCAGCGCCCCGGGCTTGAGCACCTTCTGCACCCGGAACCGCGCGAGCAGGTTCCCGGCCGCGTCGACGGACTTGGCCAGGAGACGTCCCTGGAAGACGACGGCGGCGGTGAGGGCCTTGTTGCTGGCGTCCCAGCGGTCCTGGTCGACGGGGCAGCGGGAGGCGGCTGCCCGCGCCACGGAGGCGGCCAGGAGCAGCGGAAGGAGTACGCTCCGGAGCCGGGTCATGGCAGCCTGGCATCGGGAGGCATCGCGGCGCCGAATGGGACGCGGCCCGTCGGGAGAGCTGCCGCCGCCGGGACGCTCGAAGCGCCGCCGCTCTCGGCCAGCTCGCGGGAGCCGCATCTTCTCGGATGGAGCTCTTCCCGGCCTCTCTCGCTGATGCTGCTCTGGGGCGCCTTTCTCCAGGGAGGCCGGGAGTCGATACGGACGAGTGGCGTTGATTCGCCGGAACCTTTGAGCTGCCTCGCTCCTTGAACAAGTGGAAAATCGTCCGGAAGGAATTGTTATTATAATGCCTAGCAGTTTTCGCGTATGCTCGGGATTTGGAAGAAATTGTGTCTAAAATAGTTATTAAGAAAAACGTTCGGGACTTTTTCGGACACAGTTCAACTGGAGCCGATGAATAATTTGCCGACCGTTATCGCAGCCGGACGTTCTGGGCCGAATTAAATTCGTCGGACGTTATGAAGTCTTGACAAAGCATCGGGATAGTTGGATATTCGACCGAAACGAAACGGCAAGCGTGGAACAAACCTGTTGATTCACGCGGGTGGGAAGGGGGGGGGGGGGGGGGGGGAGCCGTTTATTTCTGGCGACGGGTGCACGAAGCGACTATCAATGCGCTAAAGGCGATAAGTTGGTATGACCTCTAATAGTTTGATAGAGTTCAATGTTCGAATTATTATCGGGGAACCTTTCCGCGACGAGCGTCAAAACATAAAAATGAGAGTTTGCGATCTTGACCTGTAAGGGGTTGACGTAACACATCTTATAGCCTACGACATTGGATGTTGGGACAATTAGGCTTTATATTGTTTCACCCCAAGACCGAGAGCAGCCGGCGGCACGAGCGAATGAGGCCAATCAAGCTTCTCGCATAACGCTTGGTCACGGTATTTTCCCCGTTTCTATGCGTGCGCTACCGCTAACTGATCCAATCGAGCGTGAAGAATGCGTCGCGACATCGCGGCATCGTGTTTTTTTCTGTGTATTTACGTTGCAAGTAACTTTTGGCCCCACTTGAATTTAAGATGAAACGAAGTACACCAAATTGCACGTGCTCGATAACTAATTTCTCGAGTAAATGTAAGGTATGACGCAAAACTGAGTGAAAGTAAATTAAGAAAAAAAAAAATGATACGCCAGGTTTAGAGTCGGGCAAAGGCATCATGTCGGGATTGCAAAATAAAAAAAAAAAAAAAGAGTCAATCAGGAATAAATGTTTCATTGAACTGAGGTCGCAAAACAATGTTCACAAGAGCAAGCGACCATAATACGAAATAAACAAAAACAACAATGGCAAGTAATGTTTTGTAATGTTTTACGAACACCATCTAGAATAATGGAGACCTCTGAACGCCCCAGTCTTCCTCCATGGAACGTCATCATAGTCTGAGGGGCGCCAACTCAGCCATTAGACCCGAGCCGGATGCTGAGCGTCCTTCGAAGCGCTGATTAGACACGAGGACCATCGGAGCACTAACGCACCACTCGTATCCAATCGGTGTCTTTGCTCGATATCAATGCGGTGACGTCAAAATTCTAGTGTACTACAGGCTTTGATTATTCAAGGTGGTGTTGGTTTTACCCGCCGAGGTCGAGTATGGTATTGCCAGCCGGCAACAGCCAGGCGGCGCCAGGAGAGTGAGTCCCTACTTTTATACCCTGTCTCGTTGTAACTTGGCAAAGGGTGAACTGTGAACTAAAGCCCCTCATTGCGTGCCGACGGCTTCGATAGGCGCTACGTATACGAGCGCAACGCGCACATAATGAAGCATGACGCCGCGAAAAGCCTGATACTTCTTCGCAGAAAAAACGCACTCCGGTGATACGTAGTCCCGCTCCTTTGGCCGTAGCTTCCGCCGCACTGGCACGTTACTTGATCGCGGTTTCCTAGCCTGCAAAGTATTTCTTGCTTCAGACACTAGGCTATAGCGGCGCCACCAGAGTAATAGCTCACGCTTGAACAATGCATCTGCCACTCCGAGGCATACCCAATGTTTCTTGCTTCAGCCCTTCTATAGATAGCGCCAATCCAAACATCACTGCAGGTTGCCTGTGACCGAAGCTGCTGAGGCTTAGCTGAAAGTCGGTTCTGAACTCTTATCAACAGCGAGACGACGAATAAAGCCCCTGTCAAGCACGGGCTGATTTTGCAAAAATATAGACATTGAAAAAAAAAAAATGAAAAAAGCTGATTTTTAAAAAACGTTTGAGTACATATACGTGAGACTAATCTCAATCTTCATGCGTCAAACTTTTTTTCGAGAACCTTGACACAACTGGCCTTGATCTTCTTCTAACAAAGAAGCCCTGTCCTCCAGGATTCCAAAGCCAAGTGACCCTTCACCAAGAGTCAAGGCCAAAACCCAGAGAACGAATTCGCGTCGGAAATGAGAAACAGTAAATGCTACTCACACAAAAAAAAAAAAAAAAAAAAAAAAAACGAAACGGAAAGACGGCACAGGGTGACTGTTACGCAAAAGGTTCCTTCCATGAAAACTTGTTACGCCATGTTTTCCTTTTTAAAATTAACTCTGATTGAAGGACAGTGGGTAGACCTGAAAGCAGGCTGGTTTGAGGTTTACCCTCTTTTCTTCAATCAGAGTCAATCAGAGCTCGCGTTGTTCTGACGTTACCACAAACCCTGCGAAGGAAGCAGACGAACTTGCGCTCCGTATAGTTTTGGCCGTTTGTAGCTTCTTCTTAGGAATTCTCTGTCGTGCATCGTAGCCTGTGCTTGAAGATCCCTCCAACTTTGTCGCATGCACCTTTTTATGCTTAGTTATGAAGAGTACCCACTAAGCTTGAGTAAAGCTAGCAACGATTCTTCAAATGATTGGCGGTAGCGGCACTTGTATACAGTGTTGACGGTAACAAGTTACAATTAATGTCGTTACCAGTAACGCGCTACTTTTTTCGGTAACACGTAAAGTACTCGTTAATTTTTTTTAAAGCAGTAAAGGTTAACAAACTTACGTCACTTATTTTGAGTAAAGGAGTAACGTTACTGGTTACTTCTTCCCAGGAATTAAAAAGAAAAATACACTTACATTTTTTTTTGTTTCTAGGTGCCAAGCCATGTGATTTTGTTATTTTTTTGCGAGTTTTTGTTTGCGTTTTTTTCTCGTGAGCATTTAGGTGACGTCGCAAAAAGTTAAAGTAATTATGTCCAGTTTCGGCATGGACATATGGTTTTTTGAAATATGGCACTTATGCATACATGTAACGTCAAAGCAGTAAAACGTGTTCATTCATAATTCAAAAAGTACCGCCAAAGTAACATAATTTACTTTTTATCGGTAGCGGTAACGCGTTCCATTTATTTTGAAGTAACGTAGTACAGTATCGCGTTACTTATAGTTTCGAGTAAGGAGTAACGTATTTCATTACTTTTTTTTTGTAACGCCTACAACACTGATTGTATATGGCGAGTGGAAGCACACCACAACGTTATTTTCAACCCACCTTTACATTTTTCCCAGAGCTAAGCAGTTGTCAGAACAATGTCAAGAATTGTTGATAGCTTTTTTCACCGTCATTACAGATGCAAATGTTATGGACTTTCAGCAAACCGTTACCATGTTCAGCGTAGCGCGCTACAGGAGCCTTTGAAGCATTTAAGCGCGCGTCCCGCAGTCACAGTAATTGTGGGGCGCTAGCTTAAAAGGGCACTGATAGGTCAAAATAATTTTTTTTTCTTACACGATTGAAAACAGTGCCTTGACATTACCCTCAAAATTCGGAACTTGGAAACTCAGCATTTGTAAAGTTAAGAAACAATTTGCAAAATGTGATTTTGAATTTTCCGCGCAATCTGCGCCAGTGCAATGACGTCAAATATTGAGTCGTCCTGCAACTCGAGTTTCTCTCACGCCTCCGTGTCGTGTTCGCCCGTGTCTCGCACTTAACCGCTGTGTGCGTGCCGCCTATCGCTGTTAGCAGACGACGCTTAACTTTCAAGTTTTAAGTTTTTTTAGGGCTCTTTCAGCGATCTCAATATTTTTGAGACGGTGTGAGGTTGAAGAGAGCGCGTAGTGGACTTTTGTGAGCGACGTGATGGGCCACATCACACCGGTTCTGCGTGGAAGGCCGCGCCGGCGGAGTCGCCACCCAAACTAGGTACACAGACCCAGTTGTTTTGACCGTTTGACGATTTCCTTTTCGAAGTCTGAGGGGTTGTCAGCACTTGAAAAAAGAGAACTACGACCGATTCCCCGACTCACCGATCGTTCCCAGTGCTACATGCGTCGAGCGCCGGCACGTTTTCCGAGGGAGGATAAAAAGTCAGGAGGCGACATCTGAACTCCGATTTTCGGTATTTCAAAAAGAAATTCCGGAGTGCGTTCGCAATTGCGTTAAAAATCATGTTTTACGAGTACCTTTATTAAATATTATAGGAATGTTGCTTACAAATCTTATCAATCTCAAAATCGTTACGTCAAAAATAAAATTTACAGGGTCTTGTATGTCATCTCTAAGACGACTTGAAGTCGAAATCCCAAGCGCCGATCCGGGTGATAGCGAACTTCTGAAGACAGCGCGCTCTCTGACGACGCCCTTTTGGCGCCGTTAATCTCAAGGCATGTCGCACGCCCGCTCTCACCGTTGCCCGAGCGAGAGTGTCCTCTTCTCCCGTTGGGTTTGCGCCACGCACGCGCCTCCGCCGATGGATGGATGGATGGATGGATGAATCCGGCTGACCCCTTTGGATCGGGCGGTAGCTTATGCCACCTAAAGATTTTGTTTCACCATTTAAGCTTAGAATATTTAAATGTGAAATCTATATTCACTCCGCAATGCAAAGAAAGTGGGGCTATGAAACCCCCTTGCCATCATTTAATAAGAAAATACTTATTTTTATCTCGCTTTCTGCCACCATTGACTTAAGCTCTGCTTGGTAATCTCTACAGTCTTGAAATCCACTCTCCCTTCGCTGTCTCTAAAACCCCATGACTTTATTAAATTCATGTTGTCTTCGGTAGGCATAGGGTGAAGCCCTTTACAGTAGTGTATCAAGTGCTCAGCCGTCTCGTCCTCCTCTCCACAAGCAGTGCACACTGTA